GCGACTCGAGTGGGCGGTCGTCGCCGCGCCGCGCTATTGATTCTCATTGCTGTCCGACACGGACGCTTCCTGCTGGCAAGCACACTTCCTAATGGCGTATTTATACACCTACCAGACGCAGATCCGCGTTCCTGATACACACCGCCGTCCCCGACGGCGATTCCTTTGGCTTATATTAGGCGCGATCCCGTCTCCGCGAGCCGTACACACGCGACTCTCGGGATCTTGATTTAGCGACACGGAGGAGGTGGGTCTCTCCTCTCTCTCTCTCTCTCTCTCTCTCTCTCTCTCGTACGAGCCAATAAACTCGATAAATCCGGCGGCGGCGGCGCGCGCGCGCCGCCGCCGCGGCATGATGTGGCTAATTTAGCACATTCGAGTGCGAAGCATACGCGAGAGAATTCGCCGCCGCCGCCGCCGTCCTTCTTCTGATCCGCTCTATTTCCGCTTTTGTCTCACGTGTCGGACTTGTATGTCTACCTGAGCTCGATTGCGCCTACACTTGTCCCTTCTTTGCGGTGAATCAGCCTCGGCGGCTCTTTACCGTGTTATAAGGGCTGTACTTTCTCCCACGGACGTTACTCTCGTCACGTTTGCCTTTCGGAAAATATGTGCCGGGGGACGGAGGCCGAAACACGCTCGGTAAAGGTCCGAAACAGCTGGAGCTTTCGCAAAATTCTTCGGAATATTGTTATTATTATTATTCTTATTATTATTCATGGACATTGTATTAAGGTCATAGTACACACGACCGTGCTCGCTCATGTCCTGAGAAGGATGACGAGGGAGGTACGTAAGAGCAGAAAGATACAAATCGCTGATTCCCCGGGTCGCAGGAGTCGACATTGTTGGCATTCCGTTGAAACTTCCCACGTATCTTCTCGTGACACAGCTTGAAAATTCAGAAAATTCAGTGATTAACGATACGCTTGACGCAGCGCAGCGTAACGCGCTGCCTCACGCCGATCTGATCACTTCCCCTCTGTGTTTTAAAATTCTCTTCGACCTCATTTCTCTTGCTTTCTCCTCTTTCCCTCGATATATATTTCCACGCGCACCCCGACTGCTAGTAATCGTTAGCTATTGACTACTTGACCCGACACCGGCGACCTGTTTTCCAGCTCGTACGTCTCTTATTACTTCCGGCTCCTTGCGAACTTGGATTTTATTCGCTTTTCGCATTGTCTCTGCTCGAATGAGGCGGAGCAGAACGGCCGATCCCGTGTCGCGTAAATATCGTTTGGGAAAAATCAGCGGCTAATAGCAGCGTGCCCCGTTCATTCCTGTCGATTCCGTCGTGTCTTTAGTCAGCGTGCCAAGCTGACTAAAGAGGGTATTTCGTCGGCGTGTCGTACACCTTTGCTTCTTTCTTCCTCTCCGTTCCTCGTATATTCTCTTCTCCTTCTTCCAGTCTCTTCCTCTCTGTCTCCTGCTTTCTCTCTCTCTCTCCCTCTCTCTCTCTCTCTCTCTCTCTCTCTCTCTCTCTCTCTCTCTCTCTCTCTCTCTCTCTCTCTCTCTCTACTCCAAAGAGCTCTTTGCGTTTAGCGGCACATATGTTTGTATTTAAGTTCTCGGAAAAAGGACTTGTGGCTACTCTAGTCTTTGCTTGTTTTCCGTTCCTCCTCGTGAGGAGCATCTTAATCGCCCATAGGTGGTGGTCCCTTCAACTTCCACAGGAAACACCGCAGCACGCTTTTGTTTCTCGTTTTTGCTTGCATCTTGTGGGAGATCAACTGCACGCGGGGCGATAACTTTCAGATATAATCCGTAAGATATATATGTAGCGTCTCTGCTGCAAGTACGCAAGTATCAGATGTCTAATTTATTTAAACGTAACAAGAGAGCTTTCCAGTAGAGGGTAAAATCATACGAGACACAGTTTGCTTTTCTTATCGAGCGATTTAATTGTTTGAGAAGCCAGACAGTCTTGTCTGTCGATCCAATCGTTGGTTTGTTCGAACACAGCAGTTAATAATAGCAACGGACATATTATATTTGGAGATTTAACGAAATTCACTAAATTCGAAAAGGACATATTTTGTGGAAAGTCGTGGCGATTAACGAACGATTTACCCGCTGCCATGTGCAAGTTGTCGCTCGATAATCCTGTACGTTTGAATATATAATGACGAGAAAGAAATATTTTCCAGAAGCGTACGAGATCAGAGAGGCAAGTTTCTCCGGGGAAAAAAAGGACCGAGGCGTTTTTTGGTTTGGCGCGACGAACCGTGGCGAAAATATTAGACGCGGCGCGTGGTGGTGAAGTTCAGCCGGTGATTGAACTTCAGAAACACACCTCTCTACGAAAATTTTAGGGAAGCGCGTCGAACGTGTGCTGCAGCACATAACGGCTTGACTTGACCGAAAGTACTCATGAACAAATTTCCATCGGCGGATGAAATGGTCCCTTGAAAAGGACCTCTCTCGGTGTGTTGCGCGAGAAGCGTTAAAACGCGCGGAACAAAGAGGCTTCTTGAGACGAAACAACGTCAACGTCCGTTTCATATGGCCGACACTTTGGGGAAGACGAGCTCTCGAGACTACCGCGTGGCTGGTTCAGAAAGAGGATACGTAGGCAAAGTGCATTACGCGAGAAAGGGGAGGGACGAGGTAGCGGTAAATCCCCTCGGGATGGTCTCCGAGTTTACTGGACCACTCGAGAAGTAGCTGGATGACGAGCGCGCGCGCGCGCGCGCGAGAGGGAAGAAAATAGCGAAAAGGAGTGCGGGGAAAAGAGAGAGAGAGAGAGAGAGAGCGAGAGAGAGAGAGAGAGAGAGAGAGAGTGAGTGCGTGTGAGACGAGGAGAGAGAAAGAGCGAGAGAGATGCGTACAAGACCAATAGAAGAGAGTGGAAGGAGGAGGCTGTTTCCCATGACGAGGAGCTGGTGGCGAATGACGAGGGTGAACCGGGCTTTTTATCGACTTCCGGTCGGCGTAACTTGCATGCACGTGCATCGCGGCAACCTCGTTGCTCTCTTTGTGGCCGCCAGGAGTTCTCAGTCGAGCGCGCCCCGCGCGTAACAGGTTGTCGATTTCTCGTCGCAGCCGGCTGGCTGGCTGGCTGGCTGACATTCCCGATACACGCCATCTCGACGCAGTCTCAGCGACTCGCGCGATAAGTACACGATAATCCCGAAATGCCGGATATACGACTGTCGGAGGAGGGAGGGAGGGAGAGAGAGGAGAGGAGCGTTCTCTAAAAATTCCCCGCGAAAATCGCCGCGTCGTACGACGACGACGTAATATTAGTCGCTCCGCCGGGATTCTCCGATGATGCGGGCGCGTTACGCGTTACGAGACCGGGTCCTCGTCGCGGTGACGACACGGAACGACGGAGCGTCGATTGGGAGAATGGAAATTCGTCGAGCAGAGAGAGCGACGCCGCGTATCCTCGAGAGTCGGACGGCGTATCGACGATCTGTTCCGCCTTCGGCCGAGACACACGTGTGAGAGCTTCCTCTCGCTTTATCGTCGCTTTTATCATCGGGTTATTGCGACAAGAGAAACGAAGATAGTCGAATAACTCTGAGCGATAAAATGGCAATGATAATGATAGCCGAGCGATAAATCTGTCGCGACGTTTGTATCTCTCGGAGAGCCCAACAGATTCGTTGCGAGTCTACTACCTGCGTCGTTGGTATCGCAGCTGTATGAACTATTTCCTACTACTACCGCGCGCTACACTCCACTTTGTGCGTATGTGTGTGTCTGTGTGTGCGCGCTGCGCGAACAATCTCAGTCAATTTCACTCGTCCTTATCTCAAAAACTGGATAACACGCATCGCTTCTTTCAGTCAGCGCGACTGGACGACGAAGTTCTTCCTGCCTTCGAATTTTCGAACAAAAGAACTTGCACGGTTACGCAGATTTCTCGAGTTTCTCCAGAGTAACTTGTGTCATAAATAATTTCTCTTGTCGCTCCGACACTCGAAAGGTCGACCCGAACGATTCCCAAAAGCCAAGGCAAGGTCGGGACCCGGTGTAAACCCGCGACAGTTGAGACCCGAGCAAAGGCAAAGCAGACGTGGCAAATCGCGTACGGGACACGAGTATCATTATTTTCCGGGATCATCGTGCGTAGCGAAACGCGTCTCATGGGGGACGCGTGCGAAATCGCCAACAGGTGTTACGGTGCAATCACGCCGGCATGATTTTATATACCCGCCGGCGATTGTGCGTAATTGCACCGCAATTTATCGCGGTCGCCGCGGCGCGCGCGCTCGCTCGCTCGCTCGCTCGCTCGCTGCGAAAGTGCCCGGATTAGCGGCTAAACCCGATCACGTCACCGCCTCTCTCGCCCCCGCCCTCCACGCGCTCGCGATCGCAGGCTGGAAAAGCGGAAAAAATGCATTCCCGTAGATGCCTGTCCGCACAAGACGTCTCGAGCCTTTCCGATCGGCTATTTCATTTAGCCGTCATTTAGCCGTGTGCGCGTGCCTCGAATATTATTATTAGCGCACGTAATATCGCACATGACGTTCCTTGGTGTGATCAAAACTGGTGTCGGCATCGATATGATAACGAGGATTGACGATAATTGTACGAAGAAGCCAGCAGGGAGGGAGGGAGGGAGGGAGGAAATTGAATTCGAGATGAAACTTAAAAGGGAGAAATATGAGCTCCGAACCGAGTCGGTGATTATATTTTATTCGACTCGACAATTGGACTTTTTCGCGGAACAAACACATTGCAAAATATACCTGACGTGCCGACACCGGCGGCGGGCAGGTGTCTCAAAAATATCAGTCCGAGCAAGGAGAAGGAAACCGAGTCGAAGGGAACGACGCGCGACGACCGCGTCGAGGGCGCGGAGAGAAGGAGGAGAACAAGGAGGCGGGGGAGGAAAGAGGGGGAGGAACGAGAGAGGGTCACTGACACGTCGTCGAGTCGAGTCGTTTTATCGGTCGAGCGCACAACCCACATGGTTAAGCTGCGTCCACGCCGTCCCCTTTCATACCGTCGAGATTCGATCGTTGCAACGTCGGCTATGGTGTTTTCAGCGAGTCGGCTGGAGAAGGTGAGGAGAAGGAGGGAAGGGAGAGAGGATGAAACCTCGAGGAAGATCCGAAGAAACGCGAGCGAACGAAAAAGGGGTCGACGGATGATCTCAACGAGCGTTATTCTCTCCTCGCGCCTTGGCCCTTGAGATTTCGGAGAAAGACCCCGACTCCCCGATGATGGAATGCCTGAGGAGCTTCTTTTCGTTTGAACACTGAGACGTTAAGAAAAAAGGTGATTTTATCAAATTTTTAGCACTCTCTGCGCCTCTGAAACGAGGCCTCTCAAAGTTTATACAAACTTTTTTGCTCGAAATCAACTCCCAAAATGTTGGATATTTTTTACGTGTACTTAAGCACTTAAGAGATATCCTGTATAATATATATAATGCAAAACAACAACAATTTGCATTATTTTGTATGACATTGTATAATTTTTTTTTCTCAATCACAAGGAAAAAGCTAATGCGCGAACTAGCGCGCACAGATATTGACGCGTAAGATTTTTAATTTTTAATAAATTTGTAACAAGTGCGTCAAAAATCGATGTTTCGTTCGTAAAAATGTTCATGCATGTGCATAGTTATATTATTTTACCGTAATGTAACGTATTTATATGAAACTTTTTTAAATCCTAACCTATCCGAACCTGATATTTGTGCCTTATCTTGAATAGTCTAACCCGATCTTTTATACTAAATTAATCAACAGGTATTTCTGATTAAATAATAAAATGATAAACGTGCATTCAATTAGCAGACATTAGTATTTCGCGAGTGTGATGCGACAAGAATATCGTTCATTGAATTTGGAACGTGTTTCTGTGAAAATTCAAGTAAATCTAATCCGACGTCTCGCGAATTTCTTATTTTTGTCGCATATTTGCTTAATCGAATAATCGTTTTATTTAAAATGATCAATGTGAGATTTCATGGTTCGTTTCCGTTGCTTAATTTACACTCTTTAATTCTTCATTATGGAATAATTTCTCAAAAGTCGACTCGAAATTCGCACAAAAGTGCTGCTGCTGCTGCTGCTGACGTTCATCGGATTATTTTGCAAGCCTTACATATGTTACATATGAGATAAGATGTTATAATAAAATATGATCGACGTCAGTCTGTTTTTCCGTCGCCGTCTATGACACTAAACGGAGAGAAAGGGGCGAAGTATATAGAATTATTAATTCTGAACAAAAATTTAATATAGACGAGAATACTAACCGCTTGTTAACCAAGTTATCATTATTTATTTATAAGAGATACACACATGTATAGCGCGTCAAGCGTCGCGCGAGGAAGAAAATATTTGGCGAGCCGATATCTTCGATTCGCGCTCGTGACGGTCTTTGTTTGCCCGAGATAAAAATGGCGCATTCTTCCGCGCAGCTGAACAGCCGGCGCGAGATAATTCAAATATTAATCTTAATTAGGTAATTACCGGCGTCGTCGAGTACATCCGCGCCAGTTGCCCATCGATTTTTTTGCACATGCTTTAGACGTAACGATCGCGTGATATATGTATGAAAAAAACAAAGAGGAGCTCGTCAAGAATTTATTCGAGGCATTAATTACACCGCTATACCAGTCACAATACGACTTACGTGCATTTATTAGTCAACACTTCGCTTTACACGTTCGCCTTGTTCCGTCGAATCGACTTTATCGCTGGCGTCTCTCGTAGAGCAGCCCGTCGGGGAAGCCCGCAAAATTTGAAGCGTCAAATTTTCACGACACCTCGTTGCAATTCGTCATCGCGCTACTTGCAAATTATCCGGTGTTAGGTCGTGCCGTTGTAAGCCGGACCGCAGTCGGACAATGGTCATCGCAATGGTATTTAATTAAGTCACGTCGGGTCAAGCAATCACACGCGATTCAATTCCGCGGAGTGTCGTGATTGCGATTTTTCCGATATCTCTCTCTCTCATGCGCTCGCTCGCGGTTTTTGCAACTCGCGAGCAACAGGGTTATCGCGGAAGCGGCGCCGCGCCGCTTGTAAAAATCGCCATCCGAGCCGCGCGCTATTATTTCACATCGAGTTTTATCGAAAATCTGGAGCGAGCCTCCCAGACACCGAAAACAGATTACTTTACACCGCCGAGAAGTGTGTAATGCAATAAACCGCGGCGAATCCAGCCAGAGAAAATAATCACGTCGCGTTTGATTCCAATCGGCCGCTGCAACATTGCGCGAGGGAGATAAGTTATATAAAAATCGAGAAAACACGGAAGAGAGTTAATCTGTCGGGGCACAGAAGAAACGGGCTATCACGAGCGACGGGAAAAAGAATTTGCGATAGAAGTGACACATCATTGTTGTTATTGTCGTTATAAACTCTCAGAATACTTCAACCAATATCGGAAGTGGGAGAGGAAGGAGGAGGGGCACGTGTCACACACACACACACACACACACACACACATACAGAGTGCCTCCGCGCTTTGACCGCGACGTACATGCGCATTCGAAATACAAGCGCTTTTCTATCGCCGACCACCAAAGACGCGCGGTATCTTTCCTGCCGATAAAAGCTTATCTGCGGACTCGTTAATGTGCGTTGCAAGCGAAATTATGTGCATACGCGCAGGTGGGACACTGCTGCGTTATCGAATATTTCATAACTCACATCTGCGTGCATAACGAAAGCGAGACGCGGAAGATTAAAACGTACGATACTCGCGATCAGTTTGCCGAAATTTATCCCGACACCGACGACAAGCCGAAAGAGGAAAAAGCCCGAAAAAAGCGCATCGAGAATTGCGGAAAGAAAACTGAATTTAGATGTCCCTTTCAACGCGATTATGACGTTTGCGAAATTCTTATTGAAGAAAGATCATTTACATATCGCTGAAAATTGGACGATAATTTTGGACGATTGCGAGGCGCGAGAGTGTAGAGAGCGCGGGGGGATCGGCAGATTGCACGCGAATGTCTCTCTTTGTTGGCTGGCGGTCTCGTAAAAGGAAGGACCCACGTGCGCGCGCTCGGCGATCGGAAGGAAGGTGAAATTTAGCAGAGGAGGTATACCGGGCCGGTATCTCTTCTGTTAGCACAGTTGCTCTCGCCGCGCGCACTTGCTCGGCCGTCCGAGAAAATCGAGGTCGTTAAGGATTCCCGCAAACACGACCAATCGGCCAATCAGCGCCGGTGCTGTGCACCTGTACGCGTCGCTTTCGCTCTCGCGATCTACGAAATTCCACCGCGGCCACCCTCGATAAAGCCAGCGATCTCGATCGCGATCAGTCGTCGAGCTCAGGCCGATTGTGCGGAATAAGCTTCGTGCGACCTGTTATCGCGCAACAGGTTCTTTTTGCACGCGAAACTTCCTCAGCAGCGTCGCTATGAGCAGACATGCGCTTTTGCGCTTCTCAGAGAGAAAATCTGCGCGGCTAACACACAGATCATGTCTCACGATCGCGCGTTAGCTGCTGCTGCTGCCAGATCCCCTCTTGAGAGAAACAAGTCTATCGACTTATCGATATAATAAGAAAACGCGTATCAATGAAACAGCATCATATTCGAGCAGCTCTTCCGGGACCAAAAAAGCCAAACCGTGCAGATTCCTCGCGCGTAACTCCCGCGGCGCGGCGCGGCGCGGCGCGGCGGGCCAAGCTCCATCGTTATCTCTATTTAATAAGAGATAATCTCATCGATTTCCACGATCTCTCTCACGAAGGCGCAAGATCTCGGCGACTTATCCTCGGCACGATCTCGATAACGCGGTCCGCATGGATATCTCTCGCGGCACTCCGCTCGCGCTCCGTATCGGCCCGGCACGTCCGCAGTGTTGGATGCGGCGATAATGTCCACGTCGATCGGCCGCGATCTCTCTCGACGCGCAGGCCCGTCGCTTCCGCCTCCAGGGGGAGGCGCACACGCGCGCCGATTAAATCACCTTCTTCTGTTTTACGCGAGCCGCACGTCTCGCGGCGATAAGTGCGCCTCGCTCTCGCCGATAGTGCACGTCTGGCCGGGGTACCTGTCGCGCGATACTCGGACGCGTAAACATCTGCAAAACACGTCGCGACGCCGCGCCGCCGCGCCGCGGAGCCTCGCCGGAGGACGCGCGCGCCGGGGAACGTTCGTCACGTCCGCGTCGCGTCGCGTCGCGTCGCGCCGCGTCGCGGAAGAGCGAGACGTCACGGCGTATTTAACGCTTCTTGCCGGGACGTAATCGGGGGGGGGGGAGAGGGGAGGGGATACAATCACGAGTGCTCGCGATTCTTCTCGCCGGCTGAAATCGAGCGTACCGAAGCGCTTCTCTTTCTTGCTCCGTGTAGTCCCGCATGTTTGTGCGCTCGCGGAGAGACGGAGGGAGAGAGAGAGAGAAAGAGCGCGAGCGGCGCAGGAGAGAAGGAGACCCATCTCCTTTTTCTCGCCGTACGTCGCCGTGAAGAACGCGGCAGACGCGGATGTAGCGCTTCCCGAGCGAGCAGCAACTGGGAAGTTATTTGGATTTCTGATTAGATAAAGAACGCGGCGTATCTGATATATGTCCGCTCGCGTTATCATCGACGACGTTCGCGCGCGGGCGATCTCAACCGTATCCGCCTCTGCGAGATGGAGATCGCGCGAGGAGCGGCGGGAAAGAGAGAAGAACGAGGTGAGAAGAAGCGAGCGCGGTAGCGGTGTCGTCGGTACCAGTCGGCGATCAGTGGTCTTGCGATCGACGCCGACCGATTAGTAGCGAAGCTTCCGCGCGAGAGCGCGGAGGGTCGAACTGTCGTCCTGCGCTGACGTCTTCCCTTCCGCATGCCTGCGCGACCTTGGACCGGTCGGCGAACCCGACCGGGTATTTCCGATCGGCCAAGTCCGGCGTGTCCGCGGCACGCCCTCGCAAAGCCATCGTGCGTACTGAGAGGAACGGAGGAAACGGTAGGGAGAGACGATGTCGTCGACGAAAAGATAGAGAGAGTGAGAGAGAGAGAGAGAGAGAGAGAGAAAGAGAGAGAGATAAAGCCCCTCCTGCCGGCGCCGAGGAAAATCATGGGGCGAGTCGCGCATCGCGCTCGAAATTTCGTCTCCTGCGCCGGCGAGTTCGTGTTCTCTTCGCGCGGTCGCGATGGTTACCGTTCCATGCGCAACGCCGGATCTCTCTCCCCGCGATTTCCCAAGCGTCTGCCGACGCAACCGGCCGTCGTGCAATTGTACTTTGCATTTTTACAATGCGGTTCCGCCGATAACGCGTGCCAGTCGGCCGCTCGTGACACGGGGTGACTCGCGCAGGAATTAAGTC